GCTCCGAGCGCAGGGCCCTGGCCTTGGGGAGCCGCGTCCCTCGGGCGAGAGTGTGGTGTGACCAGCCCCTGTGCCACTGAGCCGTCCTTCCTCCTCTTTCTCCGCAGGCTGCCTCTGCACCGTCGGCGTCCTGACCTACGGACTGATCAGCTTCCAGAGAGGCAACATCCGTCGCTCTCAGCTGATGATGCGGGCACGTATCGTGGCCCAGGGCTTCACCTTCGCGGCCCTCCTGGGAGGCATGGTGGTCACAGCCATGAAATCTAGAAAGTGAAATCAGGCAAGAGAGGAGCTGCAGCCACAGGCACGTGCCTACGGGCTACAGCCCCGCTGGCAGGGTGGGTTCTGGCTGCAGGCAGAGTTTCTGAGAGACAGCTGTGATGTCTTGGCAGAGCCAGCATGAGAGAGGCTTTCTGTTCCAGAGCACTGCAAACGCAGCTAATAGACCTGTCATTAACCTGAAATTTGGCCCGTGACGTTTTTTGATTCCCTGAGAGCTTATCCTCTGGCAACACTGGAAGCTGCATCTCACTAAGGCTCTCCACACCCATCTGACCTCCGGTCCCTGCCTGGTGCTGTCATAGCCTGTTAAAACTGTGTCCTGCAGGTCATGGTCTGCACTGAGGTGTGGCTTTAGTCAGGCGGTGCACCAGCCTCTGAGAAATGAGCTGTCTGGGTGGGGAGGAACAGTTCTGTTCATGGCTCAGTCCTGGCAGGACAGAGTTCCTAAGCAGCGGGTGCGTTCTCTGGGGGGAGATGTGATCTGTTTGGTTGCAGCTGATGAGCAATAAAGTGAATTGCAGCAAGATTCTGACTGATACTGGAATGCAGAGCATGGAGAAGCCAGACAAGTAAACAGTTCAGGAAGGAAAGGGAACAGACGCAGCTGCCTCGAGGCTGTGGTAGTGGAAGCAGGACACAAGAGGTCTAACTCCATGCGAAAACAAGTCGGGAACTTGCATTTCCAGAGCGGGCCCTGGCCGCATGCTCTGGGACAGCTGCTGCTCCAGGTGCTGTTGCCGAGTGTGGGTTGCTGTGCAGCTCCCCCTTTGCTCGAGCTGGGCACTGTTCACGAGGGAGCTGCCGAGCTCCGGGTTCTCCTGCACACACCCAGGTGCGTGTGCTGCAGCAGAAAGACGACAGTGCCCTGTAGGACTGGAGATGTCGGTTTATTGTAGCAGGTAATTTGAACAGTCACAGATACCAAAGCCAAGGGGGTGTGGAAGAGTTGTGGTCACAGCTCCCCAGGGGCTGGCCGTCCCTGCCTGACCTGGGGGACACAGGGGCCTGGCTGCCTGTGGGTCTGGAGGGATGGGGCACAGGGGTTCCCTGTCCCTGGGAGGAGCCAGAAGCGCCTCCTGCTGCTCTGCAATGGAAGGCAGGGGCGGGCAGGCGAGCCCCGAGGTGTCCCCCATTGGTGCCCATCCCGTGCCGCAGCAGAGCTGCCCAGGCATGCTGGAGCACAGGGGGGCAAAGCAGGAGCCGTAAGCCCTACAGAGAAGGGGGCACAACCCCGGTGCCCAACACCGAGTGATTCCCTATGCTCACTTCCCTTCCCAGCCCCCTGCCGAGCCTGTGCCCAGAGCCAGCACTGCTCCATCACCCCACAAGGCTGCAGCAGCAGGCCGGTGACCTTTCTGTCTCACAGAGCCATCACTGCAGGGCAGGACAGCGCTGCATCCTCGCCTTTTGGCTGAGCAGGGCTCTGTGGTGAGGCTCAAATAAATGTTTTGTTGCTTCTGCTCTACGTCCCTCTGGCCCACTGCTGCGGCCCCTTCCTAAGCCCCCCGTGGGCTGTAGCCAGGGCACAAACTCCAGGGTGCCCTGCAGCAGGATGTGTGCAGGCCCATCCCTCTCCGGCTAGCTAGCTGGGAGCAGGATTGCAGGGCTGGGCCTGCCAGGCAGAGCAGAGAAAGCCAGAGCTGGGGCTCGGAAGCATGTGGGGGAGTGGGACTGAGACTGAGATGTCCCGCCAGGCTGCTCTAGGGGTACAAATTCAGCAGGGGACAGAGAGAAGCCACAAAGCAGCTGCAGACAGATGGGCGGTTTGTTCTTCAGGGACAGCACGAGCCCCAGCACCAGAACTCTAACCAGCCCTGCTCTGAGCCCCTGGGTTAGGGAGCTGGGGGCTCTACCTGCCCTGGAGCAGCTGCACCTTCCTACCTCCCTCCCTGCAACCACACAGCCTCCATCTGAGCAGAGCCAAGCCAAGGGCTCCCAAAGCCTGACACATCAAATTCCCAACTGCTGGTGGTCTCAGGGAGGGGGACAGAAAGCAACCTGCACACTCACCCCATGGCTTCTTTTCAGCACCTTGAACCACTGTGCCGCCTGGCACCAGCAGCCCTGCAGGACAGTCAGGACATGGACACTGCCAACTGCTGCTCAGAGCCTCACCAGCTTTTTGGGGTGTGCAGCCAGGCTGAGGAAGAGTTCTGCTGGGCGTGGGGCAACTGCTGGCAGTCCTGGCCCAGCCTGGGTGCCTGCACTCATGTTCCCCAGGCCCTGCTAGCTGCAGCTGTGCTCCCTGCAGGACCTTGGGGTGTGGAGGTGAGTCAGGGCTGTTCCTCCAGCCACACATACCCATGCCAGCTCCGCTCCAAGCCCTGCAGGAGAGACAGCCGGGATCCCACTAGGGTCACAGGCCTGGCACTGCCGTGCTCACAGCTGCCCAGCACCAGGAAAGCCACAGGCAGGTTCACTCCCAGCGTAGGGGTGAGGTGGGGAACCCCCTCTCGCTCAGCCAGGCTCCCGGGCACCACTTCCCACAGAAGCTCCCACACTAACTTGGCTTCACCACCCAGTGCAGCTTCCCAGGGAAACGCCACAGTAATAAATAAGTGTAAAAAGAGACCGATGCACCTTTTAAGCAAAGGAAAACCATGGGGAGAGTTACAGCCGGCGACTTGCAACCGCGGTGCACAGGAGGGCGTGGGGACAGGCGGGGTGAGGCCCCTCCCGGGTGGAGGCCCCCCCGGGCCCAGCCCCAGAGCCTTGCCCGCGGCTCCCGGCAGGGCCAGGCGCCTAGCGGGACAGGGGCGCCTGTTTGAGGGAGATGAGCACCGAGCGCATCCGCGAGACATCCTTGCTCTGCTTGCTGCTCTTAGGGTTGAAATCGCAGAGCTGGGCCACCTTCTCCCACTCGGATCCCGAGGTGTCCTCCTTGGACTCTTTCAGGAATGCTTCCTCCGAGGCCCTGCGGAGACATTGAGGGTTGTCACTGGCAGAACCCTTTCCAAGGAGATCGTCCCCTCTGTCTGGGAACCCCTCGTGTCCCCACCTCCTGTCCCCTCGCTCCAGCCGATGAGCTTGGTGTCCTCTGGGATCCAGAGACGCTCAATGCTCAAGGCTGCTGTTGGCTATGCTCACTCGACATCATTCAGCCAGAGGCACTGGGGTGTCTGAGCACTCCCAAGAATTCTCCATCCCAGAGCCATCCCCCAAAAGGCACAAGACCCCACAGCTCTGCCTCTTCAACCAGCCCCCACGGGGACATTTCCAGGAGCTCCCAATTCTCCACAATTTGGAGATGCTCAGCTGCACCATCCTCCCTCTGGGACCTCACCAGCGCCCTGTACCTCCCAGCACCCCCCTCCCCTTGGCCGGGCGACCGTTCTGTGGCCGGACCCCCAGCGGCTGCGGGGCAGGATAGGTCTGTAAGAGGCACGTACACGTAGCCAATCACATCGGCGTCCGGCTGCTGGTAAAAGGCTTTGTCAGCGATCCTAGCCCCCGAGGCACAGACAGAGAGAGAGCGCGGAGCGGACAGGCAGGCAGAGGGTTAGAAAGAGAGACAGAGAGGGGGTTAGCGTCCTCCCGCAGAGCTCGCCCACTCGCCACCACGGACACGGCACCACCACAGCCTGCTGTGGCTGGGAGGCTGCAGACAGCGCCCCGACCCTGCCCCGACCGGGGGCCGGAGGCACCGAGATCCCAGGGAGATCCCAGCGTGGTCCCAGCCAGGGCAGCTCTGCGCAGCCACCAGAGCCGCTGGAAGCCCTGGGGCCTCTGCCCTTGCCTGGCAAAGCTCAATCCCTGGAGGCCTGGGCCCCACTGTGGGGAAAGAGACCCCCAGACATCCCAGGAAAGCAGACGTGGCTTCACAGCAGCTCCCATTGCAGCCCTCATGGTCACATTGACCCCGACATACCTATTGTTTGCACGGTTCTTCTCCATCTGCTCATTCTGACGCAGGTTCCACTCCTCCAGGTCCTTCTTGGCCTTCTCTCGCCACTCCTGCTCAGTCACCTTCGATGCCGCATCTAAGCAGGAGCGAGACAGAGCCCATCAGCCAGACTGGCACCCACTGGGCCCACTGAGAACGGGGCCGTCTGAGCAGCCCCTCAGCAGGCAGGAGAGCTGCCACCCCCAGGCCTGTCCCCATGAATACTGTCCGAAAGGCATGACTGCCCTAAGAGGGCACAAGATGCCTCTCTGGGAGGCAGCAGAGTCGCT